TAGGGCGAGCATGTTTGGTGTGACAGGAATTCGAACTCTCGACCCTCAGATTGCGAGTCGAGTGCCTTAACCACCTGGCCATGCCGGGCGGCTACTCTTTTACCAACGAATAGTGGGATTGATTGTCACATTATAACACCCTCTCCGATTGAAAGGGAGAGCATGTCTGGTGGAACGGGGACCATTAGATTGCGTGTCGAGCGCCCCCTAACCACTTGGCCGTGTCAGACAATGTAAATCGTCTGGTGTACAACATCTTATCTCGACTTCAGTATTATTTAATAGGGTTCACCTTCCATAGGTTGAAAACTTCTCAAACAATTTTAACTTGCAAAAGTTCAGAATTTTAGTTTAGTTTAACATTTCAATATCATTTGCGTATATATATTTTTATAAAAAAAAACTTGCCCGTCTAACTGCCCCCTCCCCCACACCATTATTATAGCGACAAGTCCTAAGGCTTATAACGTGTTTCTATACCTGTGGTGGGTAGAACACAGATAGCCCATTATGTAGCTTTGCACTTAACAATATACCAACCCACGTAACTACTGTGTTTGCGAGGGGCAAAGTTCAGCTCACAGGTGCATGTACATTCTACGACTCCTTTGGTCACAGTATTCTTTATTTAATATGACGTCAATTTCAACATAACTTATAATTGCTGTTTATTTATTTATTCGTAATCTCGAATTAAAAGCATAGTTTCTCAAACACCTGGTAAAAGTCATATCTGGAACTTCCTGGACTGGAAATCTATTGTAATGAGCATGCGTCAAGGATGACGTCATCAGTTGTAATCAAACAGGGTTTTTTTTTTTAAGACATTTATGGCAAATTTTCGAACTTTATATACTTAAGAGTGAAAATATGACATCAGAAATTATAAGCTAATTTCAGAAAATAAACCGATTATTTAATTCCCCATAAGAACGTCTTATGAAAAAGATGTTCGAGTAATTTGTAATTTTTTTTTTTTTTTACAGTGTTAATTTTTATTGGATCTTCATCATTAGATAATAAAATTCTGTGCAGTGTTGGTATTTAAATGTTAAGCGAAAAGTTACACGTTGGATTAACTTTGTCCACCACGAGTATCGAAACCCGATTTTTAGCCTTGTAAGCGCACACACTTGCCGCTAAGCCACCGAGGGACAAAGACAGAAAATTAGCACATTTGGCGCTAACACGTTCTGAAAGTGTTCGTGTTATTGGGTTCCTTTTCTCGTGCTAACGTTTTGTTTTGGTTTTTTTTTTCCTGCTGATTCTGCGTGCTTTGGAATATCGAGATTAACACATTTTATATTATGATCGTTACCATGACAACCACTAAAAATATATGTTGATTAATTGATATAATTAATAATTTAAGAGAAAAAAAAATAGCCTCTTTGCCTCTAATAGCGCGTTTAGTGCTATTGGTAATGTTTATATTTTGTTTTATGTTGTCTTTATTACAATAAATTTACAGCTATGTTGATAATATCATACTTGTGGTTATCATATTTCACTAAACGAAATTATTGGATTTCAACCTTTCAATTCATTCTATTAACCCTCTGTGTAGCTATTTATATTAGCATATACACATTTTTATATTATTCTGTATTAGCGTATACACATATTTTTATATTATTTTATATTAGCATATACACATATTTTTATATTATTCTGTATTAGCGTATACACATATCTTTATATTATTTTACATTAGCGTATACACATATTTTTATATTATTTTATATTAGCATATAC